TGCCGTACCAGATAAGAACAACCCCCCACCTAGTGCCTCGTGTCTGCCAGGCTGCGTCTGTGCTCTGCGTGTGCACACACGTGTCCTCTGTACCTGGACAGGTCCTTGGACTTTGCCCTTGAGCCTGGTTCTGTTACTCTGTAGCCTTGTACTTCTAGCCACTCACTTTACCTCCACTTCCTCAGTTATAAAATAGGGATAACAACACCTGACCCATCTACTCCGTAGGCTGTCAAGAGAACCAACGTAAAAAGACAGCTGGAGTGTAAACAACACTACGTTTAAAACCATCCGCTGGGTAACATGAATGAAAAGCAGAGGCTAGGACCAAAGAGAAAGCTGTTCACCCTTTCCAAATGAAGTGTTCATCATCCTGTGTCCCGGTGGCCTCTTCCTGAGTCTCTCCTCCGGTCAAGGTTTTGTACAGGGAAGATTGAGGGGAACAGAATTCCATGAATGTGTGTGTGACAGGAGCCCTATCACTTTCTATGAAGCCTCGGGCTAGTTGCCTTAGCTCTCTGAGCCTTCACACTTCGCCCACACAACACAAAAAAGTACAAAAATAAGGCCGATTTCAGAAAGGTTGTCCCAAGACTGAAGTGAAATATTAGCCGTACTATTTCCGGCCATGATGTCTAGTACGCGGCAGGCCCTCATTAAATACAGAGATTTACTGAACTGGTACAGAAAATGACACGAGGACGGACACTGAAACGTGCTCTCTGGGCAAAGGAGGTACTTCAGCACTTTCATGTCAGCACTCCAGAGCCGACATTCGCTACAGGACTGCTCTTCCTGCAGGATGGCAGCGACGGCAACCCCCACTCGCGCATCTGGAGCTTCGTGCTCCGCCACCCGGAGGCGTCCCACCACAGCATGGAGAGAGAACCAAACTGATGGTTTTACAAGTGATATCTATTACCCGAGGGAATGAGTTCAAACTCTTTATCTAAAGCAGGGACAACCACACGCTGCCCGGAAATCCTTTCAAGATTTTGGCAAAATTTCTTTAAGGTATGTAAAATCGTTCTGGCTCTAGAAGTAATGGGAAATCAAGGAAAGGGCAGTAATGGACACCATTGATATCGGTCGCTGTGTTGGCACTCTATGTACGTTATTTCTCGAAGCAACTCACACTGGAGATGGCCCTCTTGTTTCTCCCATGTTACAAACAGGGCTGGGGCTTCAGGAGCAAAGGGGATCACCCGGGAGCACAGTGTCACAGGGGCAGATCCTGGGTTGAAGACTCGCCCACCTCAGCACAAATTCTGCCAATCTCTCTACCAACTTCAATTCACAGAGACCGACAATAAATATCACAGAAAAGATACTCTAGGGAGACCCTCAACTGGAATTTGAATTTCACTGGTCCGTGAACTACCATCTTACTGATTACGCAACTACATGAGAAACTTCTCCACAGAGCACCTGAGAGTCTGACAGAGTAGCCGCAGTCAGCTCACTCAGGTCTAATGGCATGCTGACACGGGCCAACCGGGTAGCGTCCAAGGGATGAGAAACTCAGGCGGGCAGGTGACTTCCCGCTTTCTTCCAAGTCACACAGGCTACTAAGTGGGGAAGCTTCGATTTTAGCTAAGCTCTTCGTCCCGAAGCAGGCCCACTAGACCATACTGTCCACTCTTCGAGCTACGGTACCTGTTGCCCTGTACCTGCTCTAAGCAACGACCATCATCTGTGTGACAAACAACCCCCGGTTCTCCACAGCACACATGTCAGGCACTTGGTTATAATTCCAGGAGGCAGGGATTTTTGTCCTTGTTTCTTTTTAAGCAGATAGAGAAACTGAGGCTGAGAGAGTCGAGTCCTGTGAAGTGTCCACAGTAACGTGGCTACAAATGGCAGAGTCAAACCACAAACTCCGGTTTGACTCCGAAGTCTGCACACGTAGCTATCAGCCACTACCTGGAACTGCCTCTTGGTCTCAGCTCTTTCCCTCGCCCAAAGGAGTGATCCAGGTCCCCAGACTGCTTGTGTGTTGTGTGTGGGATGTCTCAGAGCACCCGGCTCTCACAATGTCCTTCTGGAGACTCCAACACAACACCCATCTAATGTCACCTCCTAGCCTTAGCCCAACCAAGAGCCTCAAGACTTGGGTTCCCTCCCTCTTCTACCCATCACTAATTAGGGGACCTCAGGCAGGGGATATTCAACTAACTTCTTTTCAAAATGGGGGAGACAACTGTGCATCTACCTAAAAGCAAGGGGAGGCCTAAGCATTCTGGGTAAGATTTCTTCTCAGGCAAGACTGGGACATTTTGTTTAAGGTGAATTTTCCGATCACAAATACAACCATATTGATAATGCAAGATCAAAATATGAGCAGTGAGTCAAAAAAATTTCTCCTTTCCTGTCACGGAACTCAGTGGAAGTTAACAATAACAGATTACAGAAAAGGGAAGCTGTCAAAAACATCTTAACAATTACTGCTATCTGCTAGGATTTAGTATCAATTCAAGAGTTCTCAAAAGGCGCGGGTCATATTTAGATTATCTTTCTACTTCCAAGGACAGCAGAATTGATTTTCACACAGAAGTGACTCCATTTATCAAAATGAATTATCTAACACGCCTTAGACACAAACACAAACAAAACTTGGACCCTAACAGCACTGTCTTCTTCCCCTCCCTCCAAAAATTAAAAAAAAACTAAAAGCAACAACAACAACAACAACAACAAAAAAACCCCACGGTAAGCAGCAAGGAATGAAAACAACAAATTTACTTTGGGAGACATATAAAAGGACTGACAAACTTGAATTTTCAATGAAGACTGGCAAGCAAATAGTTATCTTCTAAGGGCAAAAATGTATGTAACCCTACCTCAATTTCATATTAACGGAAAAGACAGAATAAAATGAAATGGGCCTCTAAGGAGAAATTTAATTTAAACAAGGGGAGAGGTAGGACACTCGAGTCTAAAGATCTTAGTGAAGCATTAGACGGCGTCACACACGGAACAACTCTCAGCTTTTCATAAACCACCCTGTGAGTTTCACCAGACAAACTCCTCGCTCAGAAACACGTGTGTAAACTTCTGCCTAGGACTGTAAAGGCCGTGGAGCCCATGCAGTCTGTTCTCGGTGTCCCCTGCTCAGAATCCTAGAAGCGGAAGGAGCTCTGAACAGCTCCTTAGGTGATCTGGCTTCTGGTTCTGGCTGGGCCACCTTGTCACCCTGATCCTGTCACCGCCTCTCTGGATCTCACTTTCCTCCTTATCCGTTAATGATGATCTCTCCTGACCTACAGTTGAAATTCTAGCAAAGTCTATTAACACCATGGTAAAATCGAGTGATGTAGTAAAATCACCTCCTTCCCATTTTTTTAATTTGCTGATTTCAACATCCTACTGTGGTCCCCCATTTGAAGATTTCTCAAGTTGGCTTTCCCTTCAAAAGGAGGTGAGTGGCTTTCGCATATGGAACAGAGCTCGTACTATAAAGCAAGCCAAAAAATCTTCTCCAAGAACAAACACCCTGGTTTCCTTAAAGCTGCGCCGCAGTCTTGTGACATCCTCACCAAGCATATAATAAAGCTGTTGTAATCACTCTTATTTCCCCATTTGGATGACAATCCTTAACCAACTCTGCTTCCCAGCAAAAACCCGGAGCTACAAGGTTACACTTAGAGGAAATGCTCTCCAAGGGCAGCACGGTTACATGCAGAGTTAACTGTTTCAACTTCTGGAACAGGCTTCTTATGAGAAAGCCCTGAGGCAAACAGCAGAAGGAATCGAATCACCGGCCAGATGGGAAGTACGAAGGAATGGAACCGATCACTCCTGGAATACTGTCGCAGTAGAGCTCAAGTATCCGGAGCTCATCTGAGACGAAGAGCGCCCCTCCTACTGTCAGGGTATCCCACACACCCATCAGAGAGCCTCTGAAAAGAACCTTTTGTCTGACTTGACTAGAAAAGTTATCAGCTAGGCAGGTGAAGGAAACAAACCAAAAAACCGACCTGTTTAAGTAACACTGGTAGCCTTACACGCTGAAATCTCTTCTTGCCCCATCCAGACTCCCCACACTCCCCCATACAGCTACAAATGACAAAAAATAAAAAGCAACTAAATTAAGTCTAACAGGAGCAAAAGACTGGGAATTTGGGAATATCCACTTAACTTACAAGGGTCCCTCGATTAGCGAAGAACGTGAATCCCACAGGGTTTATTCTCGGTCAGATTATGTGGCTGAAAAGATGTGGTGACCATAAAATAATAAAAACTATGTATTAAGCAAGAGAAACTACAGCTGAAGTTTCTGCCTTTTATAAATATTTCAGGGAAAACAGTTGGCTGTTGTAATGTACTTCTTTCTCTATTTCTACAAGAAATAGAAAAGGCCTCCTCCAATGTTTTGACTGACAACCTTCCTTCAAAAGACTCTCTGAAGAGTCAGAGCGTCCAGCCAAAGAGTGCAGACGCGCAGGACTCCCTACCGCCCATCTCTAGGACAACTCAGTGGCTTTCTTCTGCTACTCATTCGAAGAGACCACGGCTCTTGATTTTATTCACGGAAATTACATTCAGACCCAAACCCAGTGGTTCAGCATATTTTCTGCACGCAATGATTACATTCAGATATTTGTTTCTAATTAACTTAAGTCTTGAAGACATAACTGAGAAAATGTATGGCAGAGAAAAATCTTCTCTTGTACCAAGTCGGAATAAGCTACATACGTGGTCGGGGAATGCTGCCCCCACAGACGAGACCTCGTCTCAGGGTTCAGTGAAATATCAAGAGGCGAGAAGCAGGGAGGCAGGGAGAGAAGTTGGCAACAGGACTTACGTTTGCGTCTCACAAATGAAGTGGTTAGCAGGAGCGAGCTTACCAGCCTCCGGCAGAAGGCAAGGCACAGAGCTGAGGTTTTAGTTGCTGGCAAACTCACTTGGAGATGCCAAGTGGGCGGTGCTGCTATGAAGCAGGAGGTGGGGGGGGTGGGGCTGGGCATGAGGGGAAGGAAACAGCGAGAAGGAGCACTTACTCAGTTAGAAGCCGGTGCAGCTTGTGATAACCCCGCTCCAAGGCCAGGCTCACAGGTGTCGCTCCTTCCTGGTTGTGGATGCTGAGAGCCCCTCGGCCACCTGGCTTCTGCAACAGGAACCACGTCAACCTCAGCAGCCCCAGCCGCACGGCAAAATGCATCAGCGTCTCCCGGGGACCACCATCTGTATGTGGGAGAGAAAATCAGTATGGAGAACGTGAAAACGACAAGCAAACAAACAGAAAAACAAGTTACGTGAGCACCGCCACCTCCAAGGACCTAAGATCCTAGAGTTAAACCGCAACATAAACAGGCTTGACGGCGGCGGGCTACGACCAGCTCCTGCGTAAAGACGGAACAAAGCTGAACACAGTTTGAGAAGCAAAGTCTCCGAAGAGAACCATGACATTTCTATATCCTGATTTACCACATTTGTGCAATCCATTCATATGGGCGGATTTGTAAGAGTGAATTCACACATGTGTTCTTTTCCTTAAACAAGAAGGCGGGCGGGGGGGGGGGGAATGCAGCCTCACAATGTGGGGACACACCGGGAATAGCTGTTGGGGCTTAGATGGGTGTATCGTAAAAGGTATAATTAAAGAAAAAATAACACCCAGACAGGAGCTGGCTAGGTAAACACTAAGAACAGGTTTTGCTTGTTAAGTACACACAGGTCCTTCTATTCCCCCACATTAAGGGCAAATCAAATTGCCAGCACTGCCTACTTTTTTTTTGTTTTGTTTAATGAAAGAAAGAAATGCATCTCCAGGCATAATAAGCCCAATTTTAAGATAATATACTAGTAAGTTCAGTAAGAAAAACGTGCACCTGGGCTTATTTCACTTACAGGGAAGGCCCCTCTTTGGTACAGCGAGTCACGCTGAAGGTGGTGGAATGAGGGAGGGCTCGGGAGGCAGACAAATCCAGGTTCGGAAGTGGCCATTTACCATCTGAGACTGGGGCCGAACCATTCTCACCTCTCGGAGCTTCACTGCTGCATCCCTAGGTGGGGCACCTTCACCGCACACGCAGAACAGAGGCAGGGGGAGTGCGGGGATAAAGACGGGCTACAAGATCCACACTCAAAGCCAGGTTCCCTTCCTTTCCCGGCTCTCTCCTCTCAGACTTCAAATTCCGTTCCAGGTTCACCAACCACCTCTCTCTTCCTCAGGCCATCCCCTGTGCCCAACCTGGGACGACAGCCACGGCAGGGCTGCGGTACCAGGCCCCACAGGCTGGGCGGAACTCACCTCCAGGGGGCGCCACTCAGACACTGCAATGGGAATGACGCCCAGGAGCGGTGCCTGCCTCCTCTCCTTCTCCGTGGCTACCACCGGTCTCAAGTTCTTCCCTGGGCATTCCCAGACTTCTTGGACCCCGCTGGTTTCTCTTTACACTCAAATCCTCCGTGCTGCTCATGTGACTAGCAGTGAAAAACGAATCCAGCTTTGAACCAGCGATTTTACAGCGAACTGCTTTCCAGTGTCATGTGTCTTTCAGTCTAGTCTCCCTATCACCAAGGTAAATTCTTAGATGCAAAAGCGATCTTCCGTATTTTACATTTTTCCTACAGAACTATGCACACTGACTATTTCAAGAATTCACAGGGTGTTCAGCTGAGACACGTGGCTGGAAAGAGATCAACACCCCAGAAGAAAACCTGCATGGGCAGGTACAAACCATAATAATCAAGACCTCAGAGCAGGTGGCAGGGCCAGACAAAAGGGCAGAAAGAACCTTCAGAGAAGATCAAATATCACCACCTGACTTGTGCCTTACAGCTGGTCACAAGCACTCTGACGTCCTTATCAAAACCAAAAAGCTAATAAGGCTCCGACCAGGAACTATGTGACTTTTTAGAGACTGGTCAATTCCTGCCTCACTACGTGACACCTCCACACCCCCTCAAAGCAGTTTTCTCTACAGCCTCACCACTTCCGACCCTGATTTGCTGAGTCAGCTCCGTATTTACAAGTTCCAACAACAAAGCCATGCACCTGCTCAAGCTGGCACCTTGGTTCCAGCACCTGCGTCCTCCCCAGATCTGATTCTAAGGTCCTGAGCAGAAGGTGCCACATGCACTTGTAGGTTGACCACTTTATGCAATTAACAGACGACCAGAAGTGTGATGTGTGGTCAGGACCTGCGAGATGTCTGCTCTGGGCTATGTATTTTGTATTAACGCTTTTCCCACTCACAATAACCCCATGAGGTCTCACCATCCTCAGGCTGAGGCAAAGACAGGTTAATAACTTACCCACAACAAGAGCCATCAAGATTTGAAAATTCTTCTGTCAAGTCTAGAGACCATAACTTCTCCATTAACTCCACCCTCTTTTTGTAAAAAGCAATCAGGCAAGCGAGCTCATGTGGTTTACAAAGAACCTTTTCATGTTTCCCTCCAGTAAGTAAAAATGTTTACCCAACTTATCCTTCATTACTGCTTTTATTTCTTTTGTCTCAGTTTAAACTCCAGCACGCCTACAATTTAGGACCAATTTCTGTTCTCTGGTCTCTATATTCTGTATTTCTTCCTCTCATGATCCTTTGTCTTTTCCCTCTGTATTCTGTGAGTTACTCAACTTTGTCCTTCAGATCACTAACTGCATTTCCTGTGATGTCAACTGAGTCCTTTGTCCCCAGTTTGAATTTAATTACGTTATGGGATTCTGGATGTCCCTGCATCATTTCAAGCAACTCCCTTTCCATCTTTGCCCTCACTGTGATGACTTCTCTGCAGATGTAATTAAAGCCCCTAATCAGTTGATTTAATAAGGAAGATTATCCCAGATAATCTGGGTAGGTCTAACTAAATCAGCTGGAAGGCTTTAAAAGCAGGGCTGAGGTTTCCCCTGGAGGCTGGCCTGAGCCTGTGCTCTTGGAACTCCAGCCTGCTCCGGATCTCCCCTTCCTGACTCACTGAGGATGACACTTTTGGCTCATTTCAGTGGGTCTGAGCTTGCCCCTGGTCTTCTCCTCTATTCCTGCACTGCGAATCTTGGACCCGCTTAACCAGCCCCCACAATCGTGTAAGCCATGCCGTGCAAGAAGTCTTACCACACATTTCTCCTGCTCTTCTGATGCTCTGGTTGAAACCTGACCGAGGAGCTTCCGGCATATTAAGTAGATAGTCCCTAAACTTACTGTCCTCCTGGTTGCTTCCTTTTCTAATTTCATAATAGGTCTTACTTCTTTGAGCTTTTAAAGGACAAATGGGAACGCTCTTCTAAATTTTTCTTTGGCTTCTTAAAGAAAATTATACCTGGGAGTCTTCCATCTGAATAAATTATACCTGGGAGTCTTCCATCTGAATACTCTTGATACTTCTCCGTTTCCTTTAGGCTGTAATTTATTTCATAGGCCACAGGTTGGCTCGCGGGCTTTCCCATTTAACCATGCTCAATTGGAAAAATCTCTATGGAGGCCCGGCTTCCACTCACGAGAAGGTAGCAGAAAATGCCTTAAGTCTCACTTGCTATCCACGTGTATAGTGGAAGCACCTCCCACACCCATTCCCTCCGACCTGCAGAGAAAGCTGACGTGCCTAGCAGACATTCATGATAAGTATGCTGCGGCATACTTTTACAAAGTCAGATTTTCTGATGAAGCAAAATGTTCTAAATTCTGTGAACAGTATAGCAATGTAGTATAGACTACATGTTTTTCCTTCCCCATCAATCCACCTAAATGCCCTGCTCACAGTACTCTCTGAATTCATACCTATGTGACTCCCAAATCATCATTCTCTCTGCTGTTCTGAACCGCCTCTTGGATAAACCCGCAGCCCCGCACGAGGCAGGAATTCTCGCACTCCACGGGGAAGGAAAACGGTGGGCCGGTGTGAGCAATGGGCTTGTCGAAAAGGACACCTGTAGCCCTGCCACACAATCAAGGTTTGAGAGGCAACGAAACCTTCTGGAGCTGAAGTCCTGCCATGACCAGGAAGTGCTTGTCCTGGAAATCAACAGATATTAACCCTCTGCCAAGAAAAAAAATCCCCAGTGATCTTTTTATATTTTATTATTTTATTTTTTAGCAACAATGACAACTGGAAAAGGATACAAATATTAGAGAGTGTAGCTAAGGAAAAAGTCCCACGGAAGGGGTGTGGGAACTAAAACACCAAACAATTAGGTTGAGGTTCTAGTCACCAGCGTCAGATACACAGAACTGAGACCGCCCTGGCTGGTTTTGGTGCAGTCTTTCTTAAACCTGTCTAATCCTTCTCTCCACCCAAATTTCTCCTTGTGGGAAGGATTCCTACCCCAAAAGATGATAAGATCTTTTCATTCAGTCGTATAATACCGTGACTGAGAACAAAGATCTCCCCCAGGATGTTACTCCTCCACCCTTTCTTCAGAGCGAGTCTGCAGCCTGCCGGCCCCCGCTCCCCTGCAGGGTCTTTCAGGTGAAAATCATCTCCATTCACCAGACCTTCAACCTTCAACCTTTGACCTTCGTGAGCCATGGAGGGACTGAGCAGCAGGGCCGAGGAAGTGAGACTTGGTCACTCACAGGGAAGATCTCCCCGTGCCATCATTCACCCTCCACCCAGATGCAACCTTATTGCTGATGTTTAGAGCAGAACTAAGGCCAAAAGGACAGCAGAGAAGCTCTTTATGTAACTGCGGATGGAAGGACTAGACGGACAAACTCCCTCCCTCCCGTTCGTGGTTTAAAGCGAAGAGTAACTTCAGAGATCAGTAAAAGCAAAAGCGAAACAGCCTCGTTCTGCCTCAAGGAACTGTTCCTCCTGTGCTGTCCTGTGGCAGCCTTCTACAGAACAGGTTAAGTCCCTTACAGAGCTCATCGATGTTCTGCCTCTAACAGGTTACTGGACGGTGGTCAAGGTATATTCAAAACGCTTATCCACCAGTCCACACTCTCCCAGTAGGTCTTCCTCCATTTGACAGATAAACAGGGAACCAGAGGTGAAGTACTTTGCACAAACTCTTGCAACGAAGCAAGGCTATAGACAAGTAGAGCCTACTGCCCACATGACAGTATCATTTCGAAACCAAGAGTTCTCAGCGTCAGGTTCATGCCTGCTGCGCAGGGAGACCAAGACAGGTCAGTGTTCTCTGGGTAGGCAGCCGGATGCACTTCTTCCTGAGGAGAGATCTAAGCTATTTTCAAAGGAGTCACTGACCTGGAAACAGTTAAAAAGCACTGCATCTAAACACAGAGTGGGAGGGGTAACCACAAATCTCGTATGACCCCTTTGTGCAAATATCAGGCTGGAACAACTGTCAACATCCTAACCTTCAACAGCAAGGAGTCCCGTTATGTAACAGAGCGCCCTGTGTACCTGCCTCTTTACCCCAGGAGATAAGCCTGCTTCGTGCCTGCTTCCTTTTTTTTTTTTTTTTTTTAAAGACTTTATTTATTTATTTGACAGACAGGAGATCACAAGCAGGCAGAGAGGCAGGCAGAGTGAGGGGTGGGGGGAGCAGGTTCCTTGCTGAGCAGAGAGCCCGATGGGGCTTGATCCCAGGACCCTGAGATCATGACCTGAGCTGAAGGCAGAGGCTTAACCCACTGAGCCACCCAGGCGCCCCTCGTACCTGCTTCTTTTAACAATCTTGGCAACTCACTGATGTGAGCAGAATGCTTCTTTACATTCGTCCCTCAGCAGCACGCACCTCGTGACCGGTGCCACACTGCCTTTCAGGCACCCAGTGGCGCAGGCTCTAGCCCACCAGGAAGGGAACAACTCAGCTGCAGAATGCGGATCTGGCATTGGCATCAGGCTCCTGATCCCAGTTACTGACTTCAAGGTAGGTCTATCGAGGTCCATGCATGCATTTCACCTTCCAACGTACATACACCTAACTTGTCCAGTTTTTTGTTGTTCTTTTAATTATTTGTAACTTATGTACAATGAGACTCGCTCGTGGGGGCGTACAGTCCTGTGAGTCTGAACGCACGCACAGATTGTTCTAACCACCACCACCAAGACATAAAGCCGTTCCAACGGCCAAAAAGCTCCCTCGTGGCAGCCCCCTGCAGTCAGACCTAGTCCCGGGCAACTGCTCATCTTTCTGTTCCCATAATTTTGCCCTTTTTAGACGACCACACAAGTAGAATCACACACTGCGTAACCTTCGGAAATGGACTTTACGCAGCAAAATGCATCCAGGCTGGTGCATTTGGACCCCCAGCAATTTGTCCCCTTTATTATTTTTCAATGTTATACCCCCCTTTTTCATGATGAGTGGTGTCCCCCCGCGTGGACATATCATTACTGGCTGACATATTCACCCAGTGACCGAGATCTGGGTTGTCCGCAGTTTTGAATGATTATAAATAACGCTGGTGTAGGCATATCTGTGCAAAGATTTTCCGAGTAAATAGAAGTTTTCATTTCTCTAGAATAAACAGCCAAATGTGGAACTGCCGGGTCATATAGTAAATGTACACTTAACCTTGTAAGAAACTGCCGAACTGTCTTCTGGGGCGCCTGTATCATTCTGCACTCCCACTAGCAATGTAGCAGGCACTGTTCTGCAGCCTTGCTAGCCCCTGGTATTTTTTATTTTACCCATTCTAACAGGTGGGTAACGGTACCTCACTGTGGTCTTTAACACACTTCCCTAACTATTCAAACTTGATTCAGCTTTTGCTAGTAACGCTTGAGCAATTTTGTGCAACAGAAACCGAAGAAGCACGTGGCAAGTCCACAGAAAGCTGGCAAAGCTGGCCAGTTCCCTATGAAAGGCAGGGAGGCTAAGGCCCAGAGAGGGGAAGTGACAGGCCCGAAGTTTCAGACCTGTGCTCTTTCTCACAGCTCTTTTTAATCGTGGTAACATGAACAAATGATCCCACTCCTGTGCCTTCTTTCAAGACAAAAACAAAACCATAAAAACACCATAAGCCCCGTAAATGACGAAGGTGACCCCGTCTTGACACGGATGTGTACACAGCAACCAGAGTTCCCGCTGCCACAGCAATACAGAACAGGAGGGGCTTGTGGCATAAAGCCTCAACGGGAGGTTTCTGAAAAGGTGCTCTTGTCCTCAATGATGGCAAATACTTTGATCTTTAGTTCTGAGCAGTGGAGGGGTTCCTTGGTCTATATTAGTTAGACAGAGAAAAGGATAACTGTGTCCTTCCTTGAAGGGACCTCAGAGTCCGCGTTTCCCTTTTTATTTCACTGAGGCAGGCAGCTCGCCGCAGCCCCCGATGCCGAGGGACACCACTGCCGCCCCGGCCACAGCATTTCGGAGGACCAAAGCTGGCAAATACCTCTGTAGCCTTCTTCCATGGGAGAAAGTCTGTGAGAGCAGCCACTGAGCATGCCCCTGACCCAGTCCCCTCTGGGTGTTCCTGCTCAGGATCTGCTCTCGGGCAGAGAGGGAGACTTCTGGCCTGCTCTCCCTACGTACGGAGTACGATGATCAGAGCCGGGTGGCCACCGAAGGGCAGTCCCGTGACTGTCGCGCTCTTTCAGGGATAAAGCAGGAAGAGGAGCAAACCCTTCCGGCAGATGCAGCATCAGCAGCCCAACGAGCGGTCATCAGTAGCAAAGCAAACCTTCTGACCTCCATCTGCGTAACTCCTAAACCTTTCCATTCGACTTGAACTCAGGAGGGAATGAGGGTGTTACTTATTAGACCCCAAACGTATACTCTTTCATTTAAATACAGTCATAAAACCATGACATCTAGTAGATACGCATCTGCTACATAAATGATTATGTAGGAAAACCCCTAAGAGGAACATATGGTTACTATGCCAGTGCTTTTTTTTTTTTTAAGTGGAACCCTTTCTTCCGTGAACTCTCACATGGAAAGCCAGTAGATAAAACAAGTGAAGAGTGAAACTGCTCTGGTTGAAGAAGTGTGGGGTTTCGCAGAAGCCAGGCAGCTCTGGTGCCCCCCTCCCACCTCAATCCCCCATCTTTTCATTCCTCTAATTCCATGGAGCCTCTCAAAAACTTCAGAATACAATAATGAAAGCTCTTTGATAATGAAATACCAAAAGGATGACAAAAATTACTCTGTTACTGTCCTCATGAAGGACAGGTCACTTCCTGTGCTTGGGAGGACACGCGAGCACTACAGACCCACAGCCAAGCGCCGCGTGCGCCACCCTCTGCTGCGAACAGCAGCCGCACAGAGCCACACCAAGCCCCTGCTTGGGGCATTTCACTGCAAGAACAGGTTTAACAGCTCCGAGAAGAGAAGGCATCAAGGCCACTCTACTCCAGTAACTGCGAGATCTACCCAGCCACTGTGAAAGGCTTGAGGACGATGATCGTACAGAAGCAGCCGCATTGAGAAACCAAAGTATTCTAAATTCGGTCTCTCTGTGGGTCATTAAGTGCTTACCCTGCAAAGTCTGATCCGTCCCCAACACGTTCCACTCCGCGGGCAGCTTCAGGTGTCTGAATGCCAGGGCGACCTTCTCGTCAAGGGAATTCACATCCCCAGATGGGGGTCCTGATCGGTCAAGAAAACGAGTGAAGTTCAGGGCCTGCTGATTCCCAGCACTGGTCGCGAGGAACTGGGCTGCATCGTACGCCTCATCCTGGATGAACTGGAAGTCTTCTTCGGCCACCACAAACACGGGAAGGCCCTCCTTGGAAGCACAGAGCAGCACCTTCACGGTCTCACAGCAGTCGTGACCTAAACAAGACACAGAGAGCAAAGAAAACAGTGTTTGAGTCCTCCTGCCGGAAGAGCAGTCTCAGAGTCCTCTTGCTGGGAGGAGGACAGTCTGAGTCCTCCCACTTAGGAGGAGGACAGTCTCCGAGTCCTCTGCTGGGAGGAGGACAGTCTCAGAGTCCTCCCGCTGGGAAGAGGACAGTCCCTGAGTCCTCCCACTTGGGAGGAGGATAGTCTCTCCAAGTCCTCCCGCTAGGAGGAGGACAGTCTCAGAGTCCTCCCGCTGGGAGGAGGACACTAGTAGGTCCTCTTTGCTCTTCTTGCACAATACACAAGTTCTCCTTCCTAAAAGAAAGTACTTCCTCTGCTCTGACAGCAATCCAAACTTCTTTACACTTATTTTCAGCTCTTTTTCTGAACTATTATTTGCAACAATGAATTAGTTCCCTTACTGCCAGTAAACAACTCTGTTCCCCAAATGTATCCCCTATAGCTAACGTCTGGCACCGAACAGTCTCTGAGATCCCAGGACATACTGAATTATGGCTGTTCAACTCAAACAGAGGAAAGAATGAAAGCTCAAGGATCTTGTCAGGCCTAGCAAGTCTGATACGACTGAACTGAGCTAGATCTGGAAACCCAACAGGAAGAAAGCCACTCAGACTGGTTAATATAGGAGGATTTTTACAGATTCCCCAGCATTGCCCTATTATCACCACAGCGCAACTGATCAAATGACGAAACATTTTGAAAAGTACAAAACTACCTGATTTTATTTCACTGTTATTAGAAATTCAAGGCCTACAAAATGCACTCTGCTGTCAGATACATGTTCTTTCCTGTCATGTAATGATGTCAACAACATCGCCTGGTTCACAGGGATGACGCAATGCTGCGGCCAGAAGCCCGGTTCAGGGAGGGCAAGCATGCCGGAGATCAGTGCCCACCGTACAGACGGGGCAGACCTCATGAGCTGCCACATACGTGCCACCCCAGACAGCTCCACTCGAGTAACATCCACACCGTTTCTGCGGGAAAGGCCTTCCTGGAGAATCAGACTCTGCTGGATTTTTAGCCTCACAGAGTTAAGTATGTACAACATGCAGAATATGGTCATTGGAACACCCTCTTGACCCTCAACTTCCCAACACTGATCTCAGCTGGCTAGAAGTACGCCCCTAACATCATCATTCTTCTTCCAAAAAACCTCTCTGGTGAGAAACGCAGAAAGGAAAATGGAGCCTGTCTTTCTGCTGCGTGAGTGATGCCACCTGGTGCTCTGGCCGATTCCCCGCAGGCCCCGGCCCGCCCCGCTTCCCTGCAGCCCCTCGCGCGCAGAGACTGCTTGTCCACGGTGGGGGTGAGGCCGAGGAAGCCCTCTATAGGGCCACGGAGTTCACTTTCCATACTGTGGCCACAGGCCAGGAGAGGCTTCAGACGTGGACAGAACAGACGAAGCCTTCTACTGCCTTTGAAAGAGAAAACTGTAATTGTTTTTCCCATGTGAACAATGAGAATAATAAGTAAATTGATTTTCCGCATACGATTCTCCAGGGGCCTCTTTAAGCCCTTTACCCTGGTGACAAATCTCTCACTGTTGTGTAACCTTAGGGTGGTTACAAGTATTTACTGACCAAGTGACTACCACGTATCAGGCACCCGACATGTCATTTTCTCTGTACAAGAGATTTATGAGGTATGTACTATCCTCACGTTGCAGATGACAAAACTGAGACTTCGAGAAGTAAGGTCACAAAGGTATTATAAGAAGCTGAATCCATTATTTAAATTCAAGTCTGATGCCTAAGGTCATGGCCTAGTGTATCATGATGCAAGAGTTCTGTCCCTGCCTGCAAGGAGCCTAATACTCGAACAGCAGGCCAGTACGACGACTGAGCAACAAGAACAGGTTCACTAACCACTGAGATCTGCTTCCACATGAACACGTCACTCCACCACGTACACGTCCTGCCTTCCGAGTTGAATTCTTTCTATGAAGGCTGTAGAAGAGGGAGCATCCCTGCCTGGTGCGTGTCTGTGCCCACACGTGCCTGACGCCCACGTATGTACTTCAACTCAATGCATGTGCTGAATTTATACATTTAACATATGAAATGAAATTAGGGGGAAAAAATGTCTGATTTTCCTTTGAAGGGAAGCCAGCCTAATTGTATAAAACAACAATGTCAATTAGAAACAAGTCAACAGATTCAGGTAGTAGGTTTGGAGATTCTTCCGGCAAAAGTATTTCTTTTAAATTGCTCCACAATGGGGCACCTGGGTGGCTCAGTCAGTTAAGCATCTGCCTTTGGCTCAAGTTATGATCCCAGGGCCCTGGGATGGAGCCCCGCATCTCTCTCTCTCCCTCTGCACTCCCCACCCTCTGCTTGTGCATGCGCTCTCTCACTCTCTCTCAAATATATAAAATCTTTTTTTTTTAAGGTTAAAAAAAAAAAACCAACTGTTTTATAACATCCAACAGCTAGACAGGCACCAAGCCCAGGGCACTGGGATTACAAGCGTGAGAGACTCAGCCCTCCGTTTCAGCCCTCCGGAGGTTTACAGTCTGTAAGGGGGAATCAAGCAATTTGCAGAGAACTTCGAAAAAGTCAGAGTGGGATGGGCTCTAGAAGAAACACACAGTGCAACTGGTGGGAGAGACGCAGGACATTTCCCGTGAGTATGAGCAGGAAGATGTCACAAAGCAGGTGGCTGCTAAGAAGTAGTTTTCTGCAGTCGCCCTGCTCCCAGCTCTGCAGCCCTCAGGACGCAGATGCACGGCACCTACCTCACCTAACACACACACACTCCATAACGTGCGGTGTGCTGGCTCTACTCTCTGTGCTTTCCAAGTAGCCGTTCATGTACTCCTCATAGCAACTCTATGCGGCAGACCCTATTATTATACCATTCACCAGATGCAGAGACCAACGCACAGAAGTACTAAGTCATTTGCCCACAGTGATGCAGCTCCTGGGTGGCAGAATCAGAACTTGAGCCCGCTTCCTTGCTCTAGAGGCTGCCCCTTCTCTCAAGATTTATGGGTACAAGAAGACTTGAAGAGGAAACAAGGGGACCGTGGAAGAATCGACAGGGAAGCAATAAACACACCATGCTCAAACCCTGGCTGGAAACTCTGTGAGGCTGTGCGACCCCAGATCACCTCTGCTTCTGCGGGCCTTGACTTCCTCATTCACTGCATGAGGGAGCAGCCCCTACGAGCCCCAGCATTCCTCCAGAGGTCAAAGCCTGTGGGCGTCAGTAGGCAGAAGTTGGACAGGGAGAGAACGTTAACAAGATTCCAAGAACAGAGAACAGTTTGAAGAGCCCAAACATGGAAGCAGAAGGTAACTTCAAGGGATGGAAATGACACTTTTGGGAGGATATTAACTTGGTTACACCTGGATGCTTAGTGACAGCAGAGACCTGGGTCCAAACCAATTTCCTTTACTTCTCAGCTACGTGGCCCGAGGTAAATGAGAACACCTCTCTGTTAAATCTAGACAGTCTCGGGCGCCTGGGTGGCTCAGTGGGTTAACCTGCTGCCTTCGGCTCAGGTCATGATCTCAGGGTCCTGGGATCGAGTCCCGCATTGGGCTCTCTGCTCAGCAGGGAGCCTGCTTCCCTCTCTCTCTCTGCCTGCCTCTGTGGCTACTTGTGATCTCTCTCTGTCAAATAAATAAATAAAATCTTAAAAAAAAAAATCTAGGCAGTCTCCAGGTCTTACACATGAAGAGCAGAATTAGAAGAGTCTTCTCAAATTCTTTAATAATATCACCAAAACAACATCACCTAGCCTCAATTCATTGCCTATGAAATCAGACAGACAAGTGTAACAATAGGTATTTCAGTTGGAAGAATTACTTTAAAGTAAGAACGGTTCATGAATCTAACTGACACAGCACAGCATTACAAGCCTCAAGCCTGTGCAAAGGTGAAAAACCCAAACGCTTGAACCAGAAAGGGAGTCCTAATGCCACTAATGGCATCCATCACCCTATAAACACCTAAATACCATCACCCTCCCTCTAAGAGCTCCTTCTATATAGACAGAGTTCATCCCATATTCCAGATCTTCAATTTCATATCTTTCTCTCTCTCTCTCTCTCACACACACACACACACACGCGCGCACACACACACACGGTGCACTGAGCGCAGAAAAGCCACTGTGAAGCAACACCATCTTATTCAAAACTGCCAAGTGTAGAAGCGTCTGCACAGAACTCTATCCGGCTAGGAAAGGGTGCAGACAGACAGAGGGGACAGACAGAGAAGGTGGTTCACACACACGCACGTGTGTTTATCGGCAGCCTACGCGTGCCTGGCTCTTCCTGCTGCGTCAGCAGAAGTAATCGGTGAGCAGGCAGATGTGGACGGTGGCGGTGGTTGGGTGAACTACTGTCAGCTCGTCTGTGTATACATTTCTGTGTAAAATAAAACTACGTATCAGAGGAGGGCGAATGTCAGGAAAGGCCAGGAAGCAGCAACCCAGGAGCAGTGATCCGACTGTCAGCCCCATGTTCTTCCCTACGGACATGAACTCACAATCTGAAGGACAGACTATGATCAACCCAAGTAAAATGTGCCATCAATCTGGAACGTGTTTGGTATGATTTTAGGCTCCTTTTTCAAAAGAAACACTGAGGAGTAAAAGAGGAGTGGGGGGCTGAAGGTGTCCTGGACCGGCCTTTAATATTAAAAACTGAGAGTACATCGGGAGAGCGACTGCCGCCCTCAACCACAGCACTTGCCCCCGGCGTCTGGAAACCAGCACCCAAGCCTGCAGGCACTATTCTCTCACACTGGGGTTTTCTATTATGCTCGACTGGGTCTCAAGACTATTTTTTAATTCCTATGACCTTTCAGATAAAGCATTTAGGGGGGAAAAACCCAACATGTTAAAAAACAAAGCTATGTAAAACGGACCCAATAATAAAACCCGCTGCATAAAACGTCTTGTTGCCATAAACTCGCCCTAGAGACAGGACTCTCTCCAGGGGCCATCACACACAAAACGC